TGTGGTGCGGGGGAGTAGGAGAAATCTCTCTCTCTCTCTGGCTCAGTTCTGCTGTGAACCTAACACTGCTGAAAACACAGTCAATTAAAAAGAAGAAAGAAAATCCCATTGCAGACACTCTGCCTTCAGGGTTGAACCAGGACCCTCAGTGCGCCCGGTGTGGGCTGCAGTACCACCCAGCTTCCCGGCCCAGACCACAGAGGGCCAGGCTCCTTGCCCCCGGCTGTCCTGTTGTCCCTGTCCTTGCTGTTGCGGGGCCATCCCTCCTCGCTCTGTCCGGCATATTCCTCTCGGCCCTGTACCCCTGACCTGTGCTGGCCATTCCAGGATCTGCGGTGACTGGAGCACTCTGGTCCTGGGCCACTGGACTACCTGGTGGGTCTGGGGTGTCTTTCCTGGCCTTGTTGACTCCAGGAGGGTTCAGGGGTCACCTGCACAGCGTGACCTGGCCTCTGAGGCTTGAGCGACTTCTCCGTCCCCTCTCCCGGCTCTGAGCCCCAGCTCTGCCGTCTGACAGCAGACAGCAGTGGTCAGTGCTTGTGCACGGCTGGGCTTGCTTTGCATTTTCCTGGAGATGCATCATCTGCCATCCCATGTTTCCTGAGCCTTTCTGGAGTAAAGGAGGCCCAGGAAGGATACTGCAAACCCCCAGACCGCTCCAGGGCAAGGCTGGGACCAGACAGCCACATGAGCCCCTTGGCAGCACCAGGTGTCGCCATCAGGAAGCCAGGTGAGCTGGTACCGCCACCATGGTCTGAACCAAGGGACACGGACCTCTAACCTGTGCACACAGAAAAAACAAAGGTCACAGGCTGACGCTGGGCTGCAGTTACACCGGCATCCTGCAGCAGAGCACCGGTTCAAGTCCCGGCTGCTCCACTTGCAGCCCAGCTCCCGCCGATGCACTGGGAAAGCAGCGGAAGACGGCCCAAGTGCTCAGACGCTGCCGCCCGTGTGGGAGACCGGGATGGAGTCCCCGACTCCTAGTACTGGCCTATACTTGGCTGTTGTAGCCACTTCGGGGATGAAGACTTGGAAGATCTCTCTCTCTCTCTCTCTCTCAAATAAATACATTTTAAAAAAAATACAAGGCCACAGCAATACATTCAAATCAGTGACACTGCAGGGCCGTGGGTGGTGGCAGCTCGGTGACAGGGGACCTTTCTGCCCGTGTGGTGCCAACTAGACTTGGCTTGGGGGGAACAATGTGTTCTCTGCCTTACAATACACAGAGCACCAGCTGACCGCACAGACCAGAGCCTGCTGCCGGGAGGGACCCGGGTGCCCTGGAGCTGACCTGCACCGCGTGGTTCTCCGTTTCTCAGAGGCACAATCACAGAGCATGACCGTGCTCAGGTGGCTGATGACTTCTGATGGGTACGGCGTGCGCCCCACCAGGCCCACGCCCATCACCCAGCCCCGTCCACCCGCAGTCCCCTGCCTCTGCCCCCAGGGAGGGCCTGTTCTGCCCTTGAGCTCCCTGTGTGTGCAGCCACCCAGCACAGCTCTTCAGCTCAGCACGCCGGGACCCCCGCCCTGCGGCCATTGCAGCCCACTCCGCTCACTGCCAACCCCTGCCCCCACCCCGCCATGCACAGTCGCACGGCCGTCTGCACACCTAGTCTCTGCTCTACACATTTGGGTGGCCCAATCCTGTTGTTCTTACGACCAACGCTGCTACGAATCCTTGGGTAACAGCTCTTTGGTGGACAACGTTTCTCCTATATTTGGGTTAATGCCCGTAAGAGGAAAGGCTCGGTTGGAGGGGCAGGTACCCAGCTAGGTGTTGAAAGTTTCACATTCCTCTGAAGTCCTTCAAGGGGCAGGGGCCTGCATGCAGTCTGGAGGCCTGGCTGTTTAGGGGAAGCCCAGGTGTGGCCTGCATTCCTGTGGGCTCCCACGGGCTTCTCTCAGAGCCGGCTGGCTTTCAAGCTGCCTGCCACCCGCCCTGCCCCTGGTCACACTGTCCACACCCGCCCTGCCCCCTGGTCACACTGTCCCCTGCTCACACTGTCCACACCTGCCCTGCCCCCTGGTCACACTGTCTCCTGGTCACACTGTCCCCACCTGCCCTGCCCCCTGGTCACACTGCTCCCTGGTCACAATGTCCACACCTGCCCTGCCCCCTGGTCACACTGCCCCCTGGTCACACTGTCCACACCCGCCCTGCCCCCTGGTCACACTGTCCCCACCTGCCCTGCCCCCTGGTCACACTGCCCCCTGGTCACACTGTCCACACCCGCCCTGCCCCTGGTCACACTGTCCCCACCTGCCTCCTTTCTCTGACAGCCCATACCTTCTGCAAGTGGACACCCAGCCACAGAGTCCAGGTGCAAAGTCACTCTCCCACACACAGAGTACCCGCGAACGACCCTCAGCCTCCCACAAACTCCCCCAAACCAGCCTGAATTTCAGCATGGGACGGGGGTTGGGGGGCTGCCTTTCTCATTCCCGGCTGCAGGCAACGGGTTCCGGCCTTTCCCTGTGAAACGCTTCCTTTCCAGGCCTTGGTATTCAGAGCGGTGGGAAGGGTCTCATCCCGCTTGGCCCCCCTCCCCTCCTCCGTGTGCCGCAGGTAACACAGGTCCTAATCTTCTCTTACGAAACCTAAATCCTCACTCCCTGCCTGGGTCTCCCCGGTAAGCATCTAATTAGGGCAGGAGCCTGGCCTCACCCCACAGGAGTGAGCGACGTCCCTCAAGAAGTTAAGGACTTCAAAGGTTGGCCCCGCCTCTGAAGAATGCATTGGCCAAAAGCGCGATGAGTTACTCATTGCTGCTGTCTGCTTATTTGGGAGGGAATCTGCGCCCAAGATGCAACTGAGAGAAGCGTTCTCCACACTGTGGAGCTCAGGGGAGCTGTATCTGAACCTCCCTGATGCCCCAGCTCTCGGGGGCTGTGCCACCCTCCTGGTGCTGGGGGGACCACGGCAGCCGGGGGCCCCACGGAGCTCCAGCTCCTTCCTGCCTGACCAGGGCCGTCGTCCCAGGCTTTGCTGCTGCTGTGCAGGCAACAGGGAAGCTCCCCCCGGCCTCCAGCCTGAAAGCCCCTTGCTAACAACACAGGTGGGTACCAGGGGCCACCGGGAGGTCGTGCGCTGAGCCGTGCCACCGCCCTCGTCCTGCGCTCGGCCAACCTGGGGAGGAGCAACCAGGCCGAGACGACACCACACAGAAGCAAAGGCTGTCTGGCCCAGGCACGCTCCGGGGCAGGGTAGAGTGAGCAGATCACGCCTGGGTCAGACAAAGTCCGTGGCAGCTCCATTGCAGCCACCCTGGCGTCCGTGCATCCACCCGCTCATCCACCCGTTATCCACGCGTGCATCCACCCATCCACCCATCCACTCTGCTGTGTTTAAAAGTGAATGAGCTGCACTCAGCCCCGGCCCCAGGAATCTCCTCCTAAACACTGGCTCTGTTCCAGCTGCTGTAACAGCACACCTGCGATGGGAGGCCTAAACACCACCGATGTTTCTCCCAGGGGGAGGCTCGAGTCCCAGAGTAGGGCCTGGCAGAGTTGGCTTCTGTGGAGGGCCTGGCTCCTGCTGCGCCTTCCGGCTGGGGCTCCCGTGGTGGGTGGGGCTGAGGCTCTCCGGGGCTTCATAATCCCACCTGCGAGGGCTCTGTCCTCCGCGTCTAATCAAGCCGAGGGCGCCACCTCCTAGCCCAGCGTGGTGAGGGCTGGGCGTCACAGGCACACAGGCTACAGCTCTGCCTTCCCTTCCACACCCTCCAGCGCACCTGCAACGCCAGGCACACGTCCTGTGGTCCCCTCGGTGGCTCAGTTTAATTTGCTAGAGCAGCTCTCGGACTCGGGGAAGGGTGTGTGTGTCCCGGCTACTTACAAAGGCTATCAGGAAGAGAACAGAGGAGGCGACTCACACGGGTGGCACACCGAGTCGGCCTGCCTGCTCCAGGCACATCCCCCTCGGGGTTCCCGAGTGTTTGGGTCCGCAGAAGCTTCCGGACCCTGTCCTCTGGTTTTCCAAGGAGGTTTCATTGCACAGATGGGATTGAGTCATTGGTCACTGGGGATCAACTCGGCTTTCAGCTCCTCTCCTCCCCCCAGGGTTGGTCCTCCCCCAACCTGAAGACAAGGAAGGGCTGTCAGCTATCGGTCTGCCCATCAGCAACAGAGACACTTGTCACTCTGAAAGTGCCAAGGATTTCAGGAGCTGTGTGCCGGGAAACAGAGCCAAGACCAAATGCACGCATTTCTCCGTCACTGCACGCCCCCCCGTCTGCTCTGTGACTCGTGTCGGGCAGCTCTCCCCAGCAGGCTCTGGCCCGCAACCTCGACTTCTGCCAAAGTCCACCACCGGCTCCCCAAAACAGGTGCTCCCCCAGGCTTCCTAACGGGGAGCCCCGCTGCCCTCTGCTTTGGCCAGCAACCTCGCGTCAGGCAGAGACTCTGCCACCCTGACCAGCCCACCGATCGGTTTCCATCCGGTGAGGCGTCATGCTCCCAGTATCACACAGTAGATGCAGGGCTATGTTTCTCCTTATTGATACTCTGGAGGTAGACTACAACCAACACCATATAATTATGGAAAATTATTAACAGCATCCCAGCAGTCAACCAAATAGCTACCCACTGGGAATATTAATAAATAGATACTCTCTCTTTAATAGTAAAACTCATGTCAGTTACATAAAATAGTTCACTCTCACACTGGGAAACATGATGGTGCTCATGAATTTTTAAAGAAACACTGATTCTAGCAAGACCAGGAGCCAGTAATGGAGATTTGTTTATTTGCTTTTTGGTTCAACAAGTGTTTACTGGGAGGCTGCTGGGCACAGAGCACGGAGGGCCTTGCTCAGGGGACGAGATACGGCCGTCTCGCCGCCTTCTCGGGATCTCCACCCTGTCTGGGAGACCCCCCCGAAAAAAAAGGACAGCAGTGGGTTCGAGGTGGGGCTGCAGGGAGTGGCAGCCAAGCCAGGTCCAAGTCTGCTCCACCAAGCAGGGGGATGTCCTGGTGATGCCCACACAGTGACGCCTCCTCCCACGCCACAGGTGGTGATGCCCACACACACACAGTGACGCCTCCTCCCACGTCACAGGTGGTGATGCCCACACACACACAGTGACGCCTCCTCCCACGTCACAGGTGGTGATGTCCACACACAGTGACGCCTCCTCCCACACCACAGGTGGTGATGCCCACACACACAGTGACGCCTCCTCCCACACCACAGGTGGTGATGCCCACACACACACAGTGACGCCTCCTCCCACGCCACAGGTGGTGATGCCACACACACAGTGACGCCTCCTCCCACACCACAGGTGGTGATGCCCACACACACACAGTGACGCCTCCTCCCACGTCACAGGTGGTGATGCCCACACACACAGTGACGCCTCCTCCCACTCCACAGGTGGTGATGCCCACACACACAGTGACGCCTCCTCCCACGCCACAGGTGGTGATGCCCACACACAGTGACGCCTCCTCCCACGCCACAGGCAGCAGGTGCACCCTGCTGACTCCTGAGCCGAGAAGGATCCCAGCCAGCGGACAGCCGTTGTGGGAGGAGGTTGCGGCACGGCTTCCTTCCGGACTGGGTCCTGGCAGAGGTTCTCTGAGCTGGGTCAGGTCTTCCTGATCCGGGTCCTGGGGAGATTTCTCACCGGAGCTTTTCAGCAGTGCAAGGGTAATGCTGGATCTGTCCCTGTTCAGGCTCACCAAGAGGCCAGGTCAGGCCTCCCAGGCAGAGGAGTTAGGATGATCGGCAGGGCGCTGCTGCTCTCCCAGTGACCACAAGGCCTTGGGGTTCCTGCTCTCCAGAACTCAGCCCAGCACCTGGCCGGGAGGCTCCAGGAGCAGCCAGGAGCCTGGACAGATCCCCACCACGGGAGAGAGGCAGGCTGGGGCGCATGTCTGGGTGCTGGGCCTCGTCCCCCTGCCTCCCAGAGCCTCTCTCCTCCTCCATGGCCGGAAGCACAGGCCCGCCATTCAGGTGGTTGAGGAGCAGACCATGCTGGACCATACTGGCCCATGCTATGCTCTGACCTGGCAGGAGAGGGACAGCAACGCTGCACCCTGCAAGCTCAGGGCGCCACCTCTGCACCTGCATGTTCAGCATCCACAGTTGCTAAGCACCTGCTGAGGCTGGGTACAAACCACGGAACTGTCTGGGGTATGTCCCCTGTGTGTGCTGCTTCGGCGCATGCGCCACGCTTGACCATGTCGGAGATGACCAGCAGGTGGCGCCATTGGGGAAGCCATAGAGAGGTCCACTGCTCTGGCTGGCGCTCCCAGGCCCCGGCCTAGAACCTTCGTAACTCCATGTCTCAAGGTCACACTCCAGAGGGGGGCATCTTTCCAGGGTCACTGCCCACTCATGGCATCTGCATTTCCTCCCTTCCCCACATAAGGACGTCACTCGTGCCAGATCATTTATTTTCCAACCATGTTTTTTTCTCCATTCCCTTGCTATGTTGAGAGTGATTAATTAGCAACCCTCACACCCATTCACCTCCGTGACCTCTGCCTCGGTCAGCAAGCTGCACCGCTGAATGGCATCTCCTGGCCTGCAAGGAGGGCAAGGACTCACCCCCACACGGACGCTGCGAGCCAGGAGACTGGCTTTCTCCCCACGGCATCCATCCCTCCACGCACAGCAAAATCAATTATTCTGAAGACAGCTCACAGGACGGCAACTTAAGGCAGGCACTGTGCTGGGGGCAGAACTGTCTCCGGGACACCTGCCTGCCGCCTGTCTGTGGCCTAAGGGGTCAGTTTCGCTGCTGAACAAACCGGCTGATGAGCTGGGAGCCACTGCAGGGAGGAGGCGTGGGGAGAGGGGAAAGAGAGAGGCAAAGAGGCAGCGAGGAAGGAAGGGGGGGTCCTTGGAAGCAGAGCAGGCTGGCCAGTGCCTGAGCTGGGGACAGCAGGGCCCCTTCCCTGAGGAGGGGAATGATTCCTGTGCCCAGGGAGGAGAACAGCCTTTTCATTCTCCAGGGGAAAGCGTCAGTGGCCCAGGCCAAGCCGTTCTCTGCTCCTGATAGCAGAACTGGGCACGCAACGAGACCGGCTGCACACCCCCAGCAGTGCCACGCTCAGTGTGCAAGGGCTCAGCACCTGTAAAAGGGGGAGTCCCCTTCTGGGGTGCAGACACATGGGGCCAGGAACCAGCAAGGCCAATGTGCATCAGTACTGCAAACCGGCCGGCTGAGACTGGCAAGAGGGGCTGGCCTGGTGCACCAGGGGCTGAGGGCTGCCCTGAGGGGCTCGGGGTGAAGGGCCCTCAGCATCCTGGCAGGCTCTAGGGTCAGGGACCGTGAGCCCCCGTCTGCCGGGGACCGATCAGTTCGAGGCTGTTTGCTCAGTGCGATCGGCGGCTGCACCCGCTTCCCTCTCAAAAGCGGCTTGGACCATGGAGTCTACGTGTGCACCTGCCTGTGAGCCAGGGACGCGGTGAGGCCACGACCCCGAGGCTGGGGAGAACGCTTGTCCTTTTAGGGGGAAACTCACCCGAACAGTGGCCTGCTAGGTAACCCCTCCCCCTTCATTCGTGGGTCTTAAAAATGCAAATGACTGAGTTCTTTACAGCGTCTGCCCAACTCCAGCTGCTGTCCCTGTAGCACAGCCCTGGGATCCAGGGCCACTGCCCACACGTGGCATCTGCATTTCCCCCCTTCCCCAAATTCGGGGTGGCCCGGGCCCCAGCCCATTTGCTGTGTGGCCTTGGGCCTGCTCCTTCCCTCTCTGGCTCTGTAAAGCAGGCCCCCTTGTGGCTCTGGGGAAAGCCCCCAAGGTAACCAAAGGCGAGGGCTGCAGCAGTGCGCAGACCAGGGGCCCCAGGCCCAAGCAGCAACCTGTCCCCTCCCCCGCCCCAGCCCCACGCCCCATCCACCAGCTCAAGGTGGGCCCTGGAGCCCGGAGCTTTCTGGAATGTAAATAAACACTTTGCAACCTGCTCTGCTCCCAGGCATGGGACCCACTTTACCTCTCATTATGCACGGGCATCCTGAGCCCAGAGACAGAGGCCACAACAGGCCTCAGTTTTCAGGCAGACGACCTGGGGAATAAACCCCAGGGCCCGGCAGGCTGGACCGCGAGGCCTGCAGGGATACTGAACGCCTGGGTGCTGGGAGAGGGGCGCTTCTGCCAGGCATGGTGATGGACAGCAGCAGGCACCAGGAGCCCCTAAGCAGCCCGGCCTGGGAAGGCACTGGGGCACCTGCAGAGCGCACACAGGGTGCCCCGGCCCAGCCACACCAGAGCCCACCCTCTGCTTCCCTGTCACCTCCAGTGTCACCAGTGTCAGCACTGGGAACCCAACTCACACAGGTTTATGGAGTGACGCGGTGAGGCCATCTCAGCACTGGACGCCTGTGTCCCAGCGACCTCGCCCCACCTTCACAAGGCTCTCAGGAGCTGCAGGTGAGAAGGTGAGCACCCGTGGGAGCAAAGGCAGCTGGAGGGAGGGGCAGGCAGAGGAGGCCGAGCTGCAGCCCCCACTCCCTGTCCCTGAGCAGTTTTCCCTGGGCATGTGCACGAGGGACGGACACGGAGCATCCTGCCTCTTCCAGGGTCGGGGGAAGCTGCTTCTCATCCTTACTCCTCCCTGCACCAGGTGCGAGTCCTGTGCGTGGGCCGGGCTGTGGGTTCTGTGCCCAAGCCAGCCCTGGGCGTCAGGGGGCATCCGTGCTGGAGGAGCCGGGCGCTGGCGGCAGGGTGAGGCCCTTGTTCCAGAGATGACCGCACAGGAGGTGCAGCGGCGGTGCTGACCAGCAGACGTGGAGACGGGGGCTGAGTGGGCGGTGATGCTGACCCGGCCCTTGCTCTTCAACGCAGAAATGCAGGCGACCTCGCAGCAGCTCTCGGCTCTACAGCCCAGGACGCCAAGGACCAGAGAGCTTAAGTGACCTGCCCAGGGCCGCTGGCCAAACGGCAGGGGCAGGATTCAAACCCAGGCAGGCTGAAAGCAGCCCGGCTTCAGAATCCCGCATCTCATTAGGCTGGGGACTATCCCACAGCCCGCGACACTCACCAGGACAGCAGTGGGGCACACGGGGCTCGGGGGATGATTCCATAGCCCTCGACACTCACCAGGACAGCGGTGGGGCACGCGGGGCTCAGGGGGACGATGCCACAGCCCGCGACACTCACCAGGACAGTGGTGGGGCACGCGGGGTTCGGGGGACAATGCCACAGCCCGCGACACTCACCAGGACAGCGGTGGGGCACGCGGGGCTCAGGGGGACGATGCCACAGCCCGCAACACTCACCAGGACAGCGGTGGGGCACGCAGGGCTCTGGGGGACTACCCCACAGCCCGCGACACTCACCAGGACATCGGTGGGGCACGCGGGGCTCTGGGGGGACTATCCCACAGCCCTGCGACACTCACCAGGACAGAGGTGGGGCACGCGGGGCTCAGGGGGACGATGCCACAGCCCGTGACACTCACCAGGACAGCGGTGGGGCACGCAGGGCTCTGGGGGACTATCCCACAGCCCGCGACACTCACCAGGACAGTGGTGGGGCACGCGGGGTTCGGGGGACAATGCCACAGCCCGCGACACTCACCAGGACAGCGGTGGGGCACGCGGGGCTCAGGGGGACGATTCCACAGCCCGCGACACTCACCAGGACAGCGGTGGGGCACGCAGGGCTCTGGGGGACTATCCCACAGCCCGCGACACTCACCAGGACAGCGGTGGGGCACGCGGGGCTCTGGGGGACTATCCCACAGCCCTGCGACACTCACCAGGACAGTGGTGGGGCACGCGGGGCTCAGGGGGACGATGCCACAGCCCGCAACACTCACCAGGACAGCGGTGGGGCACGCGGGGCTCTGTTTAAACACACACACATTTCCTCTCAGGACAAGCGGACACTCATTTTGCAAATTCCAGAAATGCACCGAAAATATTTACTTTAATTCCTCCTTCCATCCTACAAAACCCCATGAATTCTTTGGTGTTAAGAGGTGTTAGCATTTCATGGGTTTCGGGTTCTAAACATCTCCACTCAGAACTTCATCTCAATTCCGGTCTACCTGAAAAAAGCCCTTGGATCATTAAAATAGGTGCTTAATAAATATTTGTTCAGTGAGTGAATGAAATAGCTACAAAGTTCACCAAAAAAAGCCTGAATTGGGCTCTCTATTCCCCTGACCGATGTCTCTATAAACAGCCGGCTGCAAGTCCTCAAATATTTATCAAGGCCAAGTTGCAGAATCTCAGGCCTTCCGAGAGAGAATTCTTTGCTGTGTTACAAAAAAAAAAAAAAAAAAAAAAAATACAAAAAGGAAGAGAAGAGCCCTCAAAGGGAATGGATGCCACCATCTCCAGGAAGCCAGGTAATGGGAAAAGAGGAGACAGGCGGCGAAGCTTCGCTGAGTTTATTCAACCGTGTTTAGCAGCGCGCAGGTCAAACGCGGGGTGAGCTCCTGAAGCAGTGTCGGGGGACAGGGGCTCTCCGGGGCTGGCTGCGTGCGCGTCTCTGAAATGCAATGCACACGAGGAGGCTGCAGCGAAAGGGCCCTTGATGACAACACCAGGGCCCTCA